CCGCTCCCCTTCCTAGATTGCTCAAGAAAGAGGCAATCTGGTAGTGGGATAAAGACTGTACGTCTGCGCTAAAGAAGTTGAAGCGCGCGTTAATATGGTATCCTGTCCTCAAAGTAACAGATCCGTCCTTGCCATTTGTCGTCACCACGGACGCGAGTCAGTATGGAATAGGCGCCGTGTTACAGCAGGACGACGACAATGGCTACAGACCCGTAGAGTTCATGTCAGCGAGGATGCCCTCAGAGAAGGTAGCCACCTCAACGTATGAGAGAGAACTCTACGCTCTCAGGCAGTCCTTAGAGCACTGGAAGCATTACCTGCTTGGTAGGCACTTCAAGGTGTATTCAGACCACGAGACACTTAGATGGTTGAAGACACAGGCCAAGATGACACCTAAGTTGACTAGGTGGGCCGCTGAGATAGAACAGTACGACTTTGAGCTCAAGCCAGTTAAGGGCAAGTATAATGTAGTTGCGGATGCTCTGAGTAGGAGATCAGACTACTTTGGAGCTATCGTTCACTATCTGGACATAGGGAGTGACCTGCAGGAGAAAGTTAGACAGGCGTATGTGCAGGACCCTATCTATAGTGACCTCCTCAAGAGAGTTAAGGAGGCCCCAGAGACCGAGCCAAATTACCGCACTACAGAGGGGTTGCTATTTGAGAAGACCAATGTAGTAGACCGACCGTCTGTGGGATCCTAACAACGAGGAGATCCGCAGTTTGATCCTAGGGGAATGCCACGACACAGAGGGACATTTCGGTTGGCAAAAGACTCTAGCCAATCGGATGTATGCGTACACTTGGCCGGGAATGAAAGCTGACTGCATAGAGTATATCCGCAGTTGCGAAGTATGCCAGAGGAACAAGAGCACTACGCGAGCCCCTCTAGGTCTTCTCAGACCCTTGCCTATTCCAGACCAGCCCGGAGACTCTGATACTCAGGTCAAGAGTAGGCACGGCAAGAGCCAAGTCATGGTCATAGTCGATAGATTTAGCAAGTATGCTGTCTTTGTTCCTTTGCCTGCAGAGGCTCGTACGGAGTTAGTGATTCAGGAGTTTTTTGACTTTTGGGTTAGTGAGCATGGAGTCCCATTGTCTATTGTTAGCGATAGAGACAGTCGCTTTACGAGTCAGAACTGGCAGGAATTGATGAAAGTATACGGATCCAAGTTGTTGATGTCATCTGGCCGTCATCCAGAGACTAATGGTCAGACTGAGCAGATGAACAAGATCATGCAGCACGTTCTGCGTATGTACATAAGACCTGATCAGATTAACTGGGACGAGATGTTACCCAAGGTAGCCAGTGCGTACAATAACAGCGTGCATTTGTCCACCTGTCGCACTCCCAACAGGTTGCACAAGTCCTTTAGACCACGTAGACCGTTTGAGGGACTTAACCGGGATCAGATTCACAGGCTACCGCCCGGTACTAGGGAGTTCACGATACAACACGAGAAAGAGATAGCCACTGTTGTTGAGAACCTCAGGAAGGCCCAGCACCGGRTGATAGAACAGGCTAATAAGCACCGTCGCCCGTCACAGTTCCAAGTAGGCGACTTAGTCTGGGTCAAGTCCAAAGAGTTTGCTCCTGAGGAAAACATCTCGCAGAAGTTACTGCCCGCATATAGAGGACCGTGGCCAGTTCTAGAAGTTAAGGGCGGAGAGGATGGACCGTCCTACACTATAGAGATCCCAGCACACCTCCATACCTACCCTGTATTTCATGCATCAAAGTTGCTGCCGTGTGTCACGAGTCAACAGTTTCCATCCATGATCCCCCCAGACATGGACGGAAGGTATGACATTGACGCATTGTAGGTGAAGACGTCTTCAGAACAGGAGGTAGAGGTCGTCCGCATAAGCAGTATAAGGTCCGGTTTGCTTATCAGGAACTGGAGGATGACCGCTGGTTTACCCGAGCAGAACTTCTAGAAACAGCTCCCGACATAGTTAGAGCCTATGAGAGAGAGAAGAAAGGTAAAGGTCCTGCCTTGGACTGAGTTATTCTCAGAGGACCTTGAATTTAGGCCGGCGGGAGTGAAATGGTATTCACCAGTTCGCAGTAGCTGATGTAGATCCCAGGGCTTGATCCCTGGCCCCCACCTTACCTGTGTACAGTATCTGTGTCGACCCCGAGAGTTGAACCCGTGACCTGTGTATTTGTAACAGTTGGTAGACTGTTGTAGGGTCCGTAGGTAGCAGGGGTTCGATCTGTAGACCTGTCGAGTAGAAGTCCTAGGGAGTTCTAGAAGTCGTAGCTGTAGAACTTCTGAAAGGTCGAGATCGTAGCTGCTACAGTCCTGAAGGTCAAGGTCGTAGCTGCTACAGTCTTCGAAAGGCCAGGACCCAGACTTCCGGAAGGTCGTAGTAGTGGCCTTTTGAAGTTGCTCATGTTTTGGCTGAGGCAAGTGGGCAAGTGGTGAGCCCAACTGCAGTACGTCGGCAGTGCGACTGCATCGAGTTGGCAGTGCAAACCCATTCAGTCAGCAGTACTGGTCCCAGTCAGTCCTAGTCCAGTCCAGCAAGTACTGCATGGGACTGTGTGCACCACGGGCAAGGGAAAGGGCCAGACCAACGAGCTACAGAAGTATAAGTCAAAGGGCAGCGTCCAGCCATTCATTCATTCCTGCGTGAGCCATGCGGAAGCGCTGCCACAAGCGACTTGTGCGAGGTGGTCTGCAGTGAGCCCGAGGACGCAGTGGGCGAGAGAGAAGGAGCTTAGCCATAGCGATAGGGTAGTAGCGGCCACAGCGGCCATAGCTGTAGATAGAGTTCAGTGTGTGTGTGTGTCTATGTGTACAAAGTATCGCGTGTGGGATATCCAGGGTGATACGGTGTGTGCGAACAGAGAGTTGTGTGGGCGCTGTGTCGCCATAGCCATTGAAGTGAACCTGTACCTGAACTGTGTTCTGACTACCATATCTCTGAGTTTTGAGTGGGTGTTTGTCGCCAGTTTGCTGCGCACCTGTTTGCATGCATGTGAACTGTGAATGAGAGCGAGTCTGATTGCAAATCTTTTGTATGCACTTTCACCAACTGGCTGTGGTTTCTATTTCAACCTCGACTTTAATTAATGACTAGCTAAGTACCCGTGGTGTGAGCAGTGTGGGATATGCCCGCAGAAATAACAAATGCAGTGGGTGACCTCACACTGCATTTCGGATGGCTCGCCTCCAAGATGTTGTCCGCAGAAACAAAGACGGCCTACCGGGGGGCAAAAAACGACAACCGCGCGAGAAATGAAAAAAGAAGGAAAAAAAAAAGAGGGGGGGGGGGGGGGACACAAAACGACAGGCGCAAGAAATGAAAAAAGGAGAAGGGGGACACAAAACGACTGCCAACCGGGGAACAAAAAAGAAAAAAAGCCGCCTGCATATCGGATGGCTCGCCTCCAAGATGTTTGTCTGCATCAACGCCAGCTGTGTGCCCCGCCCCCGGGGTGCACGCTCTTGTTTAGTGGCGTGCTTGAACATTTCGGTACGCGCACCCCTCTGCACACTCCCCGACCCTCGATCGCCTTCATCTGCTGCCCCTCACCAACGACCTGAATCCGGAGTGCAGCGCGTTATGGACCTCCCCCCCGCGGCCAATGCTGCTGAAGGTATAGCATAAAAATTTGGAGGAAAAACAAAACTGTGCGTGGAACGAAAAAGGGGAACAGAAAAGGCAGAAAAGAAGTGCAAGAGAAAGCTTTAAGAATGGGAATTTGTTTCCAAAAACAGATAATTGAAGAGAGAAAAAAAATCCAATGCATGCCACGATGCCATGAAAATTTGTGCATATGAAAGACAGCATCGCAAAAAAAGGTTAAAAAAAAACAACAAAAGCAGCGCTATCCCCCAAACTGCAGTATAGAGACAAAAATAACAAAAACGAAAAACAAGGATCCATTGTTCAAATCCATATCCATTGTGTAAACACCAATGCCTTAGTGCACCTCCACATCAAGAGCTTAGCCAGTTGACGAACTAGAATCTCCCTCCCTCTTTTCCCTTCTTCCTCCTTCCTCCTTTGTCTTCACCCCTCTCCTCCCACCCCACCCCCATACACACAGACACACAACACACACACACACACACACACACACACACACACACACACACACACACACACACACACAAAGAGGGACAGGGGATGCGAAGAGAAAGGTATTAGCAATCCCCTGTCCCTCTTTGCAATTATTTGAAATGCTGCCAGTCACGATTCTGCTGAATCATGAAGTTGGCTAGCATTGCCTGGCAAGGACGTCTGGGCAGGCCACAGCATGCCCTGATATGCCATGCCATGGGCGTGACTCCCCAGAGGGAGCTGACTTGGACAGCAAACGAAAAAAGACAAAAAAGAAAAATAGAGAGAGAGAACCTCCACGTTCTTCATGACTGTTCGCGATGTCACAGGTTAGATGAATGTCACACATGTGTCACTGTCAATGTGACAGCTGAGCGACAAATACAGTCACAACAGTGCGCGAGCTGTGTGACCAGCAAGGTAGCAACGAACGTGGCAACTTAGTGGAGAAGGAGAAACAGCAGGTGCCACAGGCACATGGAGTCATGGGCCCTGTTTCGATATCGGCCATACCCCACACCCCCCTACATACACGTGGGTGACCAGGAGGTGTTTCGAAAGAATGTGCACTGGCTGGTCAGAGAATAGCTGTTACAATACAGTCACCGAGAACCAACCACGTCTGAGCAAGCTACATCTAATGGTTGGTATTAAATGCTGACTCAGGACAACAATTCGCAAGCATCGTTGGCAATTTTGAAGTGTAAACTAAACTAGCTCTGGGTCCACTGTTGGTCTCTCTGTCATCTTTCAACCTGTCCTCAACCTCCTCCTTCAACCTGCAGGGCCTTGCCTCCGTTGCCGGTGTCACAACGATGATATGCCTCCAGCTAATGCACACTGCAGTGTTTACATGATCAGCGCATGGTGGAATTGCATGATGCTTAACCGTACATTTGTCCGTACTATGACGGTGTTATTATTATGTTATAACCCCACTTTTGTTTTCATTTCCTGACAACGTCAGACTCTGCAAACTGGGCCGTGCTGGCAAACTGGTTGTCATTCTTCGATCAGCAACAATTTAGTCTGGCAGCAATTATCCGCATGGTGTAGATTGTGAGGCTTGATCATCGACGACATCTCCGGGTGTGCGCATCGACGAACCGCCTGGGAAGCCCTCAGCTGTTGCTGAAGAAGACGTATCTCGTCATCTTTCTCTGCCAGCTTCTTCTTCAGTGTTTCTTCTGCCTTCGATCTCACCTGACTTATCTCGTCATCTTTCTCTGCCAGCTTCTTCTTCAGTGTTTCTTCTGCCTTCAATCTCACCTGACTTACTTTACGATGAACCACTTTGGAAACCTCAGGGGACATACAGCCCAAGAGAGCCTCTAGTTCATGCTGCATCTGTTCCATATCCAAGAAGATTCGACCATCCTTGAGAAGAAATCCGTCCGCTTCTCCCTGCTGTTTATTTGTCCTAACACCTGGTGGCACAGTTTGCCACGTTTCAAGGGCTGACTGCACTATCTCTGACCACTCAAGACAAAGATCAGCATGCTGCATTGGTTCGCAGTCCGTGATCTCTTCGGATTCCAAGGGGTCAGGCATTTGGCTTTCGGTGGCAGCATGTTCATCATCATGATCACAACTTGAATTACATGGAGTCTTCTTGGAGTGCTCTGAGGGGTGACCAGCGTGCACACCTTCAGAATCCCCAAACCAAGCCACTTCTGTCAAGTCTCGTCTATCAACATGATGGGTACCCAGACCACCTTGAGGCTCCATACCTGCCATTGACACTCGTTCCTCACACGCTGAGTCTCTGGCGGTTGGCAAATCCCTAAGGTCTTCAATCTCATGGTCACCAGCGAATGGTGTCGCCTCCTGGTAACTCAGATCATCAATCTTTGCACCTGCTGTTGGAAGGTCACCCATCTGCATGCTCTCTGCCAGTTGATCATCCAGCACCTTCCTCTCTGCTGTTAGATGTCCTTCCTCAGGCTCAACTTCGTCCCCACCCAATGCACACATACTTCCTTTCGTGGTTGGCATATCAGATTCTCCAGTCTCATTAATCTGCTTGTTGCCAGAGTCTGGTCCTTCGTCCATGTTCTGACTCAGGTTATCCGTTGTCATACCAGCTGTCAGCCGATTATCTGCCAAGTCCAAGGTTTTCACGCTGGCTGCCGAAAATCCTGCTCCGGCAGTCATCGAATCTCCACTCTCGCCGATACAATGAACATTGATGGTGACTTTGACCACCTTCCGACTATCCGTCTTCATGCCTGCTGCCTCGATCAGCGGCTTGATAGTTTCCAGCTCCCTGCCAGCCATCTGGAAGCTGGATATGATGACATGTGCTCCTTCATCATCCATTTCCTCCATAGTTACCAGAGATCCCACTTCCTCAATGTGCACATGAAAACTTGGAGGGCCATAGGCCGGCGTCTGCGGGCAATTAATATCCAATTCACACATACTTTGCCTTTGCAGATACTCGCCGGAGTTTATGTCATTTTGACTGATCACCAACGTGGACGATTCTCTGCCGATCATGCAGACCGGATCTATAGTGCCTTCCTCCTCAAGGGGGCATGGACATTCTGGCAAAGGTTTGCACTCCCAGGTTGAGCCTTCATTGGTGGTTGGTCCAAGTCCGTCCCCCTCGGGCAATGCTTGAAATGAGAACCCATCCATAAACTTCGAGTTGGAGCCTCGATTGGCATCCCGTCCAATCTCCCCCCCCTCCAGCAAGGCTTCAAAGGAGAAGAACCCATCCCCAGAAGCCCAGTTCTTCAAGTTGCATGAGTCTTCTTCTACCCGTTCCTGAGCATCTGGTAACTGGACAAGCCCCGGGCACAGGCTCGAGGCACAACAGCGACTATCCGGAGATCTTCCAGACGGACCGAAACCTGGTGACGCTGACATGGGAGTTTGCCTGTTTGCATCTCCAGCGGGAGGAACAGTGGTTGCCCCAGTCTTGCCTATCTGTTCCCTTGAACTGACTCCAGCGCGGAGTTGGGAGAGATCTGGAGCTGGCGAGTGCGGAGCCATCATACTCTGTTTAAATACTCGCTGTTCTTCTTCCTCCACTGGCGCAGCATCTTTGCACAGCTCCAGATCCATGTCAACTGCATGTGACACTGACATGGGAGTTTGCCTGTTTGCATCTCCAGTGGGAGACGCAGTGGTTGCCTCAGCGTTGCCCATCTGTTCTCTTGAACTGTCTCCGGCATGCAGTTGACATGGATCTGGAGCTGGTGAGTGCGGAGCCATCATACTCCGTTTGGATGCTTGCTGTTCTTCCTCCTCCGCCGATGTGGTGTCCTTGCATAGCTCCAGATCCATGTCAACCACGTGTGACGCTGACATGGGAGTTTCCCTGTTTGCATCTCCAGTGGGAGACGCAGTGGTTGCTTCAGTGTTGCCTATCTGTTCTCTTGAACTGTCTCCAGCACGCAGTTGACACGGATCTGGAGCTGGTGAGTGCGGAGCCATCATACTCCGCTTGGATACTCGCTGTTCTTCTTCCTCCGCAGGCACAGCGTCGTTGCACAGCTGTTCTCCCTGTGGCCTGTGGGCAGAACTTGGTTTGCCTGATGCTTGATAGAGACTAGCCACCAATATTTGCTTGGATGTTGGCCCATCCATGGTTGTTGACGATGCTCCCTCCTTATTGCCGCCTTTTCTACCACGAGTCCGTTTAGAACAGATACTATGAGGTACTTCGGAGCTCTGGTAGAACCAGAATGGCATATCAGAATTAATAGGAGACTTCGTACTCTCCTCCCTCAAGTTGTGACATCCTGTTTTTTCAGGGGCTTTTTTTCCAGTGGGAAAGTGCAAACCAGACTCTTGAGGGATGCAGCCATCTGTTTCTGGACAGTAACCTAGTCCATAATCTCTCTCGCGTGTCTTCTTGCAAATCTCTTTCCTCATCAAGACAGAGCTGGCAAGGTCTGGCAGAATTATGTACTCCTCGAGTTTCTCAACCTCCTTGGCAGGGACTTTCCTCATTTGGAATTTCTCTTCCCAGAACTTCATCAACTTCTTAATCGATGGAATGAGCAGCTGCTGCACCTTGGCAGAGCGCAGTATTTCTTCAATCACCCGGAACAGGCGTCGGCAGTGGCCGCGTCTTCGGTGGCCTGATTTTGTTGCGACGAAGGGAATCTCGGCAAACTCTGTGCCGAAAACCCGGAGTGTGGCAACTGCAACCGCATGTCTTCCCTCCCGCAGCACCATGACCCTGAATCCACTGTAGTCGAAGCCGCCATCGTCACCTTCGGAACAGGTAGAATGACACAAATTTACTATCATGTCGCTTCCATCCTCCATAACTACAGGGCGAAAGCACGAGTGGAGGATCCTCAGCGCAGAGGCCACTGTGCCCTCACTGGCCTTGTCTCCCTTTCGGTACTTAGTAACCTCAAAGGTGCAGTTGCACCCACCCGCGACGGGAAGTCTCTTCCCCTCCAATTTATTTAAGAACACGGCCACATGCATGCATTTTCCAGAGCAATACCAGTCTTCATCGTCATCCATCAGGTGAAGGGATGATAATTCTGATTTGGACCCCGGCAACCTGCTCCTCGCAGATACTTCGAGTTGCTTTTTCCCCTCCAGACAACGTACATGCCACCAGTTTGTGCAGCTCTCGCATGCCAGCATATTGTCCTGGGGTGCTTCAATCTTTTCTAAAGAATACTTCTTGCTTCCGCAATAGTTGCAGCCCCTGGGTGCTTCATGATACCAGCGACTCAAAGACGATAACTTAACCACAGCACAGACATCTTGTCCAGGTTGTTGATCCATAATTGGAGGTATAACTAACCAACCAACTTCTGTGTGTGCAAAACTTGTTGTCCACCCTCTCACAGCAGCAGGAGCAGAGCTGTTGTGTGTGAAGTTCACTTTCACCTGCCTCGTTGCTCTATAATGACAGAAATCAAAATAGCACGGCCGAATGGTTCACAACTCCGATCCATAAGTCTTTGTGGCACTTGTGATCGCACAGCACACAGCATGACAAGATAACTTGAAGGACCCCATCCCACCCCTACAGTCCTCCCGTTCTACCAACTGCCGTGAAAGTCCTGTTGTCTCCCTTTCACCGTGCCAGCGCCCTTACCTTGTGAGAAATCGAAATAGCGTGAGTGCCTGTGTTCTTACCTAGTCGGAGATGGACATGACATGAAAAGGTAAGGACACCAACATCATGCCATTCGACGGTCTTTGGGTCCTATCAATCAATGTGACAGACTGAGCCCTGTTTTCCAAAATCCAGCCTGTCTGTGGGTGGCAATTGCCCAAATCGTGGAGCTCCTTTCCTTCCATCAGGATCAGGTTAGCAACTGGGCAAAAAATCACAGAATCCAAAGGCCTAAAACCATACCGGGTCAGTTGGTAAGAAACAAAAGTTTGCATTCCAGCTAAAGATAACCCATCGGCCCCCCAAACCCGCATTGAAGGGACCTTGGCCAATGTTGTTGGTTCAATTGCCATTCGCCTCACGCACGTG